CACGTGGCAGTTTCATGATGACTTTCATGATCTTTCTTGAACGCTCCGCAGCGGTGACTTTGAACCTTCTGACGGAACGCACAACTACTGTCCATCTTAACGTCGTCCGCGCTGTAATTGAGGATGACAGAAGAGATCAGACTCACTGGCAGAGGGCCTCGAGCGCTTTTACACTTCAGAAAACTTCCCGCTTCAGAAATAAGGTGTTGGAAAGGTGATGAGTATCGCACGATTTCACCGGCTGGACATCTGCACATTTGTCGCGTCGCACTGCAGAGGCGATAGGTTGCGGCATTTGGCCACTCGCGAAGATAAGTGGTCTGCTGTGTTACCCATACGCGGAACTACCAGTGCCTCGGAGTAGGCGAAAATAGAGTTTCACTGCCTCGATGTGACATTTGGATGTTTATGGAGTAATAGTGATGCTGTCAAATTTTTGCAATTGTAACGGCTTTATACATGGCGATGTTTGGACTCCAGGATCGACGATGGCAAGAGCTACCTAGTGCTGGCTGCTTCCAAACGGTTGCGAAAAAAAAACTAACGAGAAACAGCGACAAAATCATCTGCTTCACGGCGACGCGGTCCGCGCGTGTCTTCTGTCTCACGGCGAATGTTCTCGAGCTGCGCTTCACCGCCGTTGTCCATCCGCCATATTCGCCAAACGTGTCCGTACACCCTTTCATCATTCCTGCTCGTTCGCTCATCACCTTTAGAACAAAATGCCAACAACGAAAAGGACCGCAAATCCGACTTCTAAATGTTTTCGACGAGAATTCCCCTAATTTCTACAAATGTGGTATCAAACTGTTGCCCGAAGGTTAGCGGCTTGTTGAGGACTTTGACGAGAACAAATATAGAATAAAAAATTAAATTGCACATTTTGGCTGTGGGGTGCATCAGAATTTTCTTCCCAGCCTAATAGAAGAACATAACCTTGTCCTTTTTGCTCTTCTACAGTAGGGCTACCGCAATAAGATGCGACATTTATTCAACAATGCTTCATATGTGTGATATTGTGCTGTAGTTCTCAGTTGATTTATAGAAGTTCTTATGCCCGAAACGTTATCGGTACAGTTTTGTAGAGGAAGAGTCTTCGATCTTCATCCTAACCTTGTATTGGATGTATTTATAGTAATCACGAATTAAATCAGCGATAACGATATGGTTCTGAAGGGGTCTGAAAGGGAGGGAAGGGTACACCAGTGGCGAAGGGGTGTGGTTCACTAGGACAGAAAGCGACTTTTTTCGCGTTCCGCAGCGCGAAACAATTTTCGCTGTCGGAACCTCAGGTCCGCAGCTGATCCAATGCATGCGACTTTGGATCCTGCTCAGGCGATGAAATGTTCGCGCGCTAAACTGCGAAAAAGTCTTTGTCTTAAGTGAGCCCACAAACCTTGCGAAGAAGCACGAGAAAGTTTGTCAAGATGCGCGAATATATCCCTGCCGTTTATTCGACCATAACGACGGCATCAAGGAGATCCATTTTGACGGTCAGCTCAGACACACCAAATGACCAACAATTATTTTTGTCCTGGTTTTACTATGTTTAACATGTTGTCACAACGTGTCATTAAAATAAATAAATAATAAATATTAGTATCATCTTGATTGGTAACTATTACAAAAAGTGGGACAGATACAGCGATACCCGCCCATCATCAACTAAACTAAAAGTGGCGAGTGATGGGTGCGGTTGCAGATTCAAGTACCGGCTCAAGCAAAAAGCTAAAACTAGTATGTGAAAGCGCTAGCTTCAGTTCCTAAGCCTGCTACTGCTGCATAATGGGCAGCAGTTAAACGCGTTAAACCACAAACTTATCTTAATCTCCTACTTTATTGGTGGTTATGCTACTCTTGTATCTTTCCTAGTACATTAAATGAATGCATATTTGCAATCGCTGAATCTTATCATTGCTCAATGAAGTTGGGCCTGTATGAAAACCACTGTGGTGTATATAGTTGTAGAGAAGATAACAAAATTCTTTCCAGTAGGAGGGGCTGTTCGGAATGGTAACGAATAGAAATCAGTTAGTAGAGGCATTTATCTTGTGACAATTGACAAATGGTGATAAAGAACAAATCGTGTTCTCTTACCAATAGTGGAGCTATTCAAGGAGTAGACAGATTGTTAAACAAAATATAAAAAATAATGTGGAGATACACGCATTGTGGATACCGTCAATATGTTAATGGTTAAAATGCTTAGCAAAGTCAGCAGCTAATGGAAAAAATATTTCCACCCAATGATCGCTTTCATTGCTCGTCGAAACACAACCTTCTTCACTGTAGAGGTTGCTGCACAAATGTACTATGATACATATAACTTGGTTTACAGTGAGAGGCTGATCGTGTATGGCGGATGCGGTGTGTTGTGATCCCCTCAGAGGAGAGAGATGGCGAGACATTCGCCGTTTGACAGACAGGCCGTCTGCTTATGCAGTTCCATGGTTTGAGCCAGGTCCTGAGGTGGGAAATATTTAAAACTAGCAAGAGTTCATGAAACCTAACGTGGTTCATTTAGAATATGGTGGCTTTGCAAAAAATGCGTGTTCTTGTCGTGGGAGCTGGAGGTCTAGGTTGCGAACTGCTCAAGAACTTGGTAAGGCAAGTTTGCCATACTTTCAATGTCCAGTTTTTCGGAACCGCTGTGTGATTTTCAATTGTTCCTGTTGTAGGCTTTGTCTGGCTTCCAAAATTTAGACGTTATTGACATGGATACCATAGACATAAGCAACCTCAACAGGCAGTTTTTGTTCAGGTCACTTTTTTATGTATTAATTATGAGTTCTTTTTATCGTGGTGCGGTTGTCACCAGTTGTCCTTTGAGAAAGAGGACTAGGAAGGGTGCATCCAGAATGCGTCACTTGGTGAGGAAATTTGTTTGAATGAGTCTTTGTTTGAATGAGTCTCCTTCCTCTAGTTGAGGTCTCTTAAGAATGGTGACCCACGATTGAAAGTTCAGCGACAGGTGCCGTATTTACCTTGAATAGGGGTAAGGACTTACGCAAGTGGGGGGGGGGGAGGGAGGGATAGTGAAGTGTTGGAAATTAATAGAAATCGTTCTGTCTCAAATTTAAGAACATAGATAGCTGTATGTACACACCGCTACCGCTTGAAGCACTTCTGAAAATTTGGAAGGAAGGGGGGGGGTTGTAACTGCTACAAATACTTTGAAAACTCGTAAAGGGTATCTAGAACTTTTGTGAAGTTCCTAGGATGAATTCCGTAGAACTTCAAAAAATCCACTAACTTCACTTGTCTGTCTATCCGTAGGCAAAATGAAATTATAAGGAAGCTCATGGGATAAACAAACCGCTAACAAATCGGGTAGCTTACAGGATTTGAGATATCAATGTTTTGTAGCAGGATAGTTGTGATAACACTCTTAGGGCTATATAAACACCTGCTTAGCACACTTCCGTTCATTCCACATGGTGCTGCAGTGGTAGCTGGAGGCAGGGTCGGTCCTGTCGTTGCTACTTTTACTTTTCAAAAAGTTTTTACGACCCCCCTCCCTCATGAAATGTTTCATACGACCCCCTCTTTCAAAACAATTTTTACCCCAAAAAATTACCGTCGAGCGGGGGGGGGGGTATACGGGCATACGCGCGCTGAAACGGCAAATTTTCTCCCGCGCCGCTCCCCACTCATGCAACTTCTTACAACCGAAGCAAGTACGACCCCCCTCTACAAACTCATCAAAATACGACCCCCCCCGTTGCTACTTGTAGCAACATAGGGTTGACCCTGGCTGGAGGGAAGTGGAGTGAGAGGGGGAAGGATGGCAAGGGGAGGAGGAAAACCAATCCCAAGCGGATAAGTGTAAGGTACAATCAAGAATTGAAATCCTTCTATAACGTCATGTCATGATTAGGTAATGCTCTCTACTACCTAAAACTATTTTTTGTATCCGACCCACCTCCGCAAGATTTTGGAGCCACAAGGGGAGGGAGTTTAGTAAACGGCATAGAGCTAACGCAGGGAAAGTGATTTTCGGCTGCTCAGAGTGAACAATCTGGTTAGTTTACAATAGCAGCTAGGTCTTAGTTTCCTCATCGACAGATAAATTGTAGTCCACCCTTATACACTCCTTTCATTCTTTCTTAGGGACAGCCATCACTACCCTTTCAGTACCTTGGAGGTGATCTAATCGATTTGATTAAGACCCACCTAGATAATTAGCAAAAACTGTGCTCATGTTCCCGCTGTTCGTTACGTGATGCCGACACCTGTTGGCTCAGCTGTCAGGGTTCCCACTCCCAAGCGTCTCTATTGTAGGCGAGATGCATATTTGAATGCTTTTATGTTTCTGAGTGGAAGTCGAGGGCTTGGCGCAACACAAAAAAAAATCGTCAGCATCGACACAGCATTTTAACTATTTTAGAATGGCGGATGTTGGAAAGTCTAAAGCGGAGGTAGCCGCGGCCTTCGTGCAGAATAGAGTTAGCGGTTGCAGAGTGACTGCGTCAGTTTCATTTCACTGCTTTTGGACTAAGGTTCCCTGACGCGGACTGAGACTGGTATTCATTGGTATTTCAGCCACAATTGCAAAATCGAAGACAAGCCACCATCCTTTTATCGTCAGTTTTCTCTAGTCATCTGTGGGCTCGACTCTATTGCGGCAAGGCGATGGATTAATGGCATGCTTGTAAGATTTTAATTCTACTGTTATAGTCGAGAATTCTTGAAATAATTTTGATTGAGCTCTCTGTCCATGAAAGTGAAATTTTGATATGCATTTTTTTGCAAAGCGGATGCGGCGCTAATCTCAGGAATGGGCATTTGCACCCGGGCATTCAAAGGAAGCGATCACGATGAAAAGGATGCGCATTGGGGAATTTCTTGCGCTACACGAAGCATTAGTTGGCTGCCAAGGAAGCCACGACGAAATGCTTGCTGGTTGCTGAGCAGGACTTCGAAAGCACTCCGCCCCAAAAGCGATCCGCCCACTAGTTTAGTTGGTGATTTGGACGAGCTGCGTTGCCAGCAGCGGCACAACTGGAGCAACTCGATTGAAGCATGGATTGGCATGGTGCCACCAAACGCTTGCGGTAAACTCGTTTATACGTCTACCGTCTCAGCCACTGCCCTTTCTTGAGCGAAAATCAGGCCCCCTTTCTCGTTTACTTGACGGTTTTTTCTGCTTTTGTTACCATTGGCGTACAATTAAGCACCCCACGTCCCCTGTAAACCACTCTTAGACCTATCGTAATAGCTGCTTTTTATCTTTTACTCGTACTGACTCGCTTATGGCCTTCAAGTTTCCAGCTTGGGGCTAAAACTCACCCACACTTTATGCGGAATGTGCTGTCGCGTTTGCTTATTGTAATCTGCATAGATGAGCTCACGCGTGGTGTATGAACTAAAACTCGACGGATAGCTAATAGGCTTTTGGCAGCTTAAATAGTGCAGAATCGCATTTGTGGTGGTGTCATTTCAAGCTTGAACGTCTAGAAACAAAAGTATCGTCTGGGCAACATTTTTCTGTCTTCACGAAATTGAATGATAGCGACGCGCTCCGCGGAAGGGGCGAATACAGTAAGAACGTTTCAGCCATTTCAAGAGAGCATTGAGAAGGGGAACCTGTGACATGTTCGAACTTCCGTAACGGTTTCATTTTTAGGTGAGCCTCTTGTTCGGTTGAGCAAAGCAGAGCGCAATACTATCTAGTTCACAATTTCGAATCCGTTTTATATAATAGAAAACCGAGTTAGCCTCTAGTGTCTTGAAAATCACGACAACTTTGCGTGTTCCCAACAGAATTGAATTGTCTTCTCGCTCAACATCATACATATTCTGCTGTGAACATTGCAGCTTTTTTGTATTGAGGGTGTCGAAGAATTCTGAGAATGAAGTGAATATTTGAGCAAGCGAAACAAAGGGTGCAGATGTAGGAATCTCCCCACTTTTCATTAATTCGGTTGCTCATTGCGAACCGACACTCCTTTTTATTTTATCATGCTTCCTTCTTTAGTGTGATCTGGTTTTAATGGAAAATGGTGAAGTTGATACGTCTACAGTTATACCACTCATTGATGGTGGAACTGAAGGATTCAAAGGTAATGCGAGAGTAATCTATCCAAAGCTCTCCGCTTGCATTGACTGCACACTGGACTTGTTTCCACCTCAAGTAAGTTATTACAGCTACTTTCCCAACTTTCTGAATGGCAGAACTGGGAAATTTCAAGCTAGAACTTCTAAGCTTATTTTGATTACTTTGCTCTTACAAAGGAAATTAGTTAATGCTTTCATGCCAAACAGTTTTTTTTGCGGTGGGATATTGGTTACGCGATTGGACAAGTTGTCGGTCTCAAAGGGCGGAAGGTACTTCGAAACCCATGACGTGCTGTCTCTGCTTGTCGTTAGTCCATCGTACTAACGATAAACAGGACAAGTTGCGTCTACGTTTTTCAGGTGTCGGCCGCGTGAGCTCTTGTATTTCGTAGGAAGTTGTTCCTAGTATTGAAGCGCTCCAACATCTAAGAAGGCTTAGCAGTCAATAGAGAAACTGCTGCATTTCGCACGTCTCGAGCCTTTACCGATTGCTTTAAAACCAGCAGTTATTTTTTCGTTTGGTCCGAGTAA